GGGAAAATAAAAAAGGAGGAAATAGTGGTAAAGTTAATGTAATTTTGTTAAATATTTCCAATTTTATAAAATATATTTCTTTAAATTAACATGAACAAGTTTAATTCACGATATTATAAATGACAACAATACAAATTAGGGAGAATCACATTATTCATTACATAATTATATGTAGTATGTACTATTAAAAAAAACATTATTCAAAGGAGAAAAAAGATTGGTTAATAATTAAGGGTTGAAATTGTAACGAAATTTTTACATTCCACCTGTGTATTTTGATTTGAATATCTCCGAGTTATAACCAACTTTTGAAAAATTTGTTTTATTAAAATTTAGGGTAAACTACAGTCACCTCTGAGGTAATGTCAAATTACGATAAAACTCCTCATATTTGAGTAGTTACAACTACTATTGATTTTATTTACACGTCTACCCTTGCGGTATTAGATTTAGAAGAATATTATGCAGTTTGTATCCGTTTCATCCTATTAGAGCTCTACATTTTGAAATAATCTACATTTTAAATAAGATAATCATAAGATATACTTATTGATTTATAAATATGGTATATCAAAAAATTATTTTTGGAAGTTGATTCGATCAATTTATTACCCCTAAAAATAAATGCAAGTAAAGAAGAGAGGTGGCTAAAAAGTAGTGGGAAAAGGAAGTTGGAATGGAGATAACTATTATGAGTGTGAAGAATAGATTTTAAGAAGAGGTTAAATTAATGACTGACATGCACAAAATATTGTCCTTTGGGATTTGCAACTCTCTCTGTTAAACTAATATTTTATTTCATCACTTCCTTCGACATGTTCCATCAAAAAACAAAAGAAAAAAAAAGTTTCTTTAACATGTATATATAAAGTTTATATATATGGTAAATTGCGGTGGTTAAATTACAAAAATACCCCTCTTGTTCGGGTAATTATATCCACCCCTCCTTTTAAATATATTTACATAAAATTTATATAATTGGTTATTTACCGAATCAAATTGTATATTCAGTTCGGTGAACGGTATGAAATATTTGCGTACCGAACTTTTGGTTCAGTTTTATCGGATTAACATCCCTAAATTTGCCTCTGAAGAGGTCTTTTCGTAAGATAATACATAGTTAAAGAGGATTGCTGTAATTACTCAAACAGGTGAGAGGTTTTCCTAATTTGACAATAACTCAGGAGTGGCCGTAATTTGCCCTGAATATTATCAGTCATTATTGAAGTAAAAAATACTAAAATGAAAATAGAACTAACTTTCAAGTATTACTTTTTAAATTTTGTAATTCTTGGGAAATTTCATGCCAAATTAAAATAAATAACCAAGTATATAAAAAGGTTGAAAATGGAAAGAAGTTTTGATTTTCGCCAAATTTTCAATTTCAGAACAATATTTGTCATTTTTTATCATAAAAATTCCATTTTTTTTCCTTATTACGAATACTTTTTTTTTATCAAAACTAGAATATAAACGAGACTTTGATTTCTTAATCCATTTTTCTTAAATAATTCCAAGTATTCAAAAATAATTATTATATACACTTATAATATCAATATTATTATGCAGCGCATATTGTATGTGAATAAAAAATTGAATTTTTTGGTCAATCAAAAAAATTGATTTTCGAATTTTTCTTTAATTTACAACTTTTTTCAAAAATAAAATAAAAATAAAATTGGAATTATTTTTATTATTATTGAAACTTAAAATTATTTATTTTCTTAAATTTCAAATTTAATCCATTAGATTTTGACCAATATACACATAGGTACAAAAAGTGAAAAGAAAAATAATGTGAGTGATGGCCAGCTATATGGACTGTGAATCTGCAACTGTGGGGTATGTACTATGGTATATAAGAGAATCATGAAAAGGGGCATTTTGGTATTTTCGCACAATTACTTCGTTTTGCGTGTGTTTGATAAAGGGATTTATTTTTTTCTGATTTTTGGGGTTTTTTTGTCAAGACATGCAAACATTTGTTGGTTTTCATGCTTTTTTCATGCGGTGGGGGTGAATCTCTGACCCACGCTCTTATTGTTAGTGTGCACTCCACGCTCTCCTTTCATTTTTTTTAGCAAATTTCACTTCACCCCTTGTACTCTAACTTAGTTTCACTATGCCCCTTCTACTATGAAATATATCTCATTACTCCCTTCTACTTAAATTATTGCATCAATTCACTCTTGTTTTGAAATTTAATATTTATAATCGCATATAAGTTTCGAAGCCTCCAATTTTTTTTTTTGCCCACATTAAAACGTGATCTTTGAAATTCCAACTATGGACCCAAATCTTCGAAACCTTTATGTTCGTGCAAAATTAGACTGAAAATTTCAATCGTTCGAGTCTTGTTTGGAAAAAAAATTGAAATTGTTATCGATTCACATTTTTGTTGGGAGCAAAAATTAATTGACGATGACGTGGTAGTTTTCAAATTGAAATCGAAGAAGAAAAGAAGAAAGAAGATGGTAATTATAAATATGATTTAAATAGAATTATAAATTAATTTCACAAGAAGACTAAATTGATGCATTTTTTTAGGTAGAAGGGATATAGTGATATAATTGATAATAAAAGGGGTCATAGTGAAATTGAGCCAGAATATAAGGGGTTAAGTGGAATTTTCTCTATTTAGTATCTGAATCTTCAATTACTCCCCTGTCAAATTTTCTACCAATTACGTCCTTCATCATTCTTGTAATTCAACTCTTTCCCTCTTTAATTACAAACAAACATTTCTTTTATTTTAATTATTTTACAAAATTAACTAGTCCTTTCAATTTTTTAACTAAAAAGCTTCTCACATCTGCTCATTTTTATTTTATTTTTATTATTTTTTTATTAACAAAAATAGATCAATTTTCATCTCTATATTTATTTGTTAAATATGTACATATAACATTTATTTTAATAAAATATTTTAAAAAGGACAAAAGGGAGAAAAGTGTAAATAACAAAAAGTAAAGGGGCAAAAAGGGGAGTCAAAGTGCCAAAGAGACATACCAAACATTCCTCAAACTCAAAGCATGCCAAAAGGAGTGCATTTGACTAAAGAAAATATTTGTCTCAAACACCACCAAAAGGAGTGAATTTTATTTATTTGATAATGAGAAGGGTAATTTAGGGAAGAAAAAAAGACCTCGTATTTTCGCAAACTAGCATCGACTTCTAAACTTTGCGAGTATTACTCTAAATTTAAACGAATTGACACACATAAACATGTGGATGTGTTAAAACGTTTATTGGATAAATACACGAGCACGATGAGATGTTAAAATATATCGGCTGAAATCAGAAGTTGCATTTAATTGATGAAATATATCCTAGCTATTAGCTAATTAAATTTGTTAGTTTCTTCTTTTTGTTTAAATTGATCTTTTGCTTACAAGCTTTATAAATAAATTATAAAACATGTACAAAAATGTCAAGCTACTCGAACTAGTTTCACAAGTTTAATTACATTCTTTAGCTTGATCTATTTTTTCATACAAGAGTATGAATTAGATAAGTGTTTTTCTGTTTAACAAAGGAATCCAAAAAAAACATTAATATAGGTGCACTGAGTAAATCTACAGTCTCGTATAATAGCTTTCAAACCGTACGAGAGACTTAAACCACATTAGACCAACCATGTGTGACAAGCTCTACCTGGCAACCGTTGGCGATAGTATTCGAACTTGGGTCAGTTGACACGAGCTCACTTGCTCCAAGCACTAACTCAGCCCTTGCAGGACAGGTGAGTGTATCTACAATAGTTGCTGATGTAGTATATTCCAATTTTGCCCTTGTTATAAAAAAAATTATGTTGGATTTTCAATTACATATTTTCTATTTTCTTTTTTATGTCTATTTGACCATTTTCACTGCTTTAATTCTTTTGGATCTCTTTTCTCGTAAGTCATTTTTACCATTGTTCGACTACGATCAGCGATCTTGTATTTTGCTCTTCGTTAGATTTTTTTTTTTTTTTGATATTTGTATTCTTCACTTAATGTAACTCGTGTAAATTTTCAGAATATTGGAATTGAATTCTGATTTTCTTTGCTGTAAATGTACAAATAAACCATTATCAAAGTTAAAAATTATTAAATATTTTAGGGTAAATTACACCTACACCCCTAAAATGTGCTAAAATAACTTTAATGTCCATGTAGTATCGATAATTACAATCACACCCCTGAAACATTGTTGGAAATTCTAACGGAATAATGCATTGATTAAGTCATTCCGTTAGGGTTCTAACAGTCTTTTAGTTTCAAGTAGTGATGAAGACAACATAGAGCTCGGGAGTGACATGTTATCTTATTATTTCTTAAATCTTTATTATTTTATATAATTTTTTTTTTTATCTATGGTAGCATTAACGGTCCCACGGAAAATAATGTAGTGCACATCGGTTCTATGAGCATAAAATCTTGGCTCCAGTAATTGTTTCAGGGGTGTGGATGTAATTACCTATACGACATGGACCTTAACATACTCAAGGGTGTACGTGTATTTTGCCCGATATTTGATTTGGTGTTCCAATGGGTGTAGCAGATCGGGTACATTAAATTCGGGTATGGGCAAGTATGAATGTAGGCTAGAAATAATTTAGGATAAACTGACACGTGTCTTTCCTAATTTATACATTTCCAGTAAAAAATTATCTGTCCA